CCCTGCGTTCGGAGGCGCGGGCCCCATGCTGACCCAGCTCTCCCGCAAGCTCGCTCCTGCCAGGCAACAAGTGTGGCTTAGTGTCGGCTCCGAGGACAACACTCCACTCGGAAAGGCAGAGACACTACCCCGTCTGGCTCCTTCTGCTTCCCCTGCCAGGCAAAGGCAAAGGCAGACTTCCCTCTCCTCAAAGCTCCACCTCCTGCTTCACTCATGACAGCACGTCCCGCCTCAGTCCTGCCTGGCGCATTACCTGAAACCCCTTTACTAAAACACCCCGAGCCCAAATCAGATTCAACTGTGGTTTTTGGTTCTGAAGTGGGGATCGAATGCAGTAACGTGTGATTTCAGAACATGTAGCCAAAAGAACACCCGGCAGCTCTTATAATGCTCTGGTTGAGTTCTCACTTCACTCTATGATATACTAGTTAGTGTGAGCTGAACTAATCTCAAACTCATTTTACAAGGGTGAAATTCAACTGCCTTCTACTCTCTCGGAGTGTGTGTTTATATTAAAGTGCAAAGAAAACGTCATTTTCCTTTACCTTCCAAGAAAAACCTTCACATGCATAAGCACACTTCAGTTTTCCAGGCAGAGCCCATGGACCCAAGTGCTTGTTAGGCAAGCATTCCACCTCGAGACACACAGCTTTCTGTTTTATTATTTTCCCCCGGTAGGATCTCCCTGGCACCCTGACCCGCCTCCGGCAGAGCCTGAGTTTCTGGGATTGCAGGCTTAGGCCATAAGGCTTCTCCTCCCCTTCTCCCAACAGAATCTGGACTCATCTGGGATGTCTCTTCTCCCAGATCATTTAAGAACTTCTATGAGGGCTGGGAAGGTGGCTCAGTGGTAGAATGCTTGCCTTGCATGCATGAGGCCCTGGGTTCCATTCCTCGGCACCACATAAGCAGAAAAAGCCAGAAGTGGCGCTGTGGCTCAAGTTAGAGCGCTCGCCTTGAGCTGAAGAGCTGAGGGACAGCGCCCAGAAGGCCCCACGACCGACAAAAAAACAAACAACAACAACAAAAAAAGAACTACTATGACTGTCGATGAGTTCTTGAAGATAAATGCTACAAAAACAGCTGGCAAACAGTTCTGCTATTGGTATTCTTATTTCTCCTATAGCCAAACATCTCTGTCCAGGAAAGTAAGATTTTTACTGGCTTGCTAGCTCTCAAAATCACATTACAAGTGGAGAGTGAATAAGGGTGCTCACTGGACCCCCACTATGTTGAAAATGAACTATACAACTTGTGGGTGGGGATGAGAGAGAAAAACTGGGAGAGAATGAGGAAAGAGGTGACCATGACCAAAAAGAAATGGACTCTTCACCTGACTTACGTAAACTGTAACACTCTGTACATCCCTTTGTAATAACAATAAACAAAAACATAACCTTGTATTCTCAGCCCCCTCTCATTTGAGATGTGCCTCCTTGGTTCAACTCACTAGAACAGGACGCCACACCATGGGTGGCCCACCCAGCTGACGCTTAACTGTGAGTGCCAGTCATCTGACATCACATTACTTGTAAGTGATTATTTCCACATCTCCAAGACAGATGCAGGAATACATGTTTAGAAAGACTTGAATAAGAATTGAACGGAGACAACTGTGGCCCATGTCCAAGTCAGAATCCAGCTATGCATTCAGCTGGTGATTACTAAAGGGTGTTGGACATCTACTACTCAATACTGCATCACCCTCACAACCCACAATGCCACCAACAGGGGTACGGTTCTAATTACTGGTACAGCCAAAATGAGAATCCAGATTTCCTGGTGACTGATTCAATGTTGTTTCTAGCTCATGCTTCTGTGCTTCTTCATGTCCTTAACATGGAATGGAAAATCTCACTCCATGACTCCCTCCATCTCTACCCACCTCCCCAGAGTCCAAACTAGCTACCTCTTCAATGAATACTTTTAATACCCTTATTTCCAAGACACCAGAACCTTTAGTGTGTCCGGAAAACTGGTCACCTGTTAAGTGAGTACTGGAACCTTGTTTCTACTGACAATACGTCTTCGACTGCCCTCCAGTCAAGCAGATGTGCATTTCAACTGACAAAGGACTCTATTCTCCCTCTTTTTTTAGCCAGTTAAATGGTAGGCTTCTTTTGGGTTTACCTCAAGTTATGCAACAGTCTACCATGAGGGGCAGCAATTACAAAGATTCTGTGAATCTTTTAATACTTAGCACAGGAATTATTTCCAAGACACCAGAATATTCAGTAAAGTTGAAATATATTGCATTTTACTCTCTAAGTTTTTATTCTATTGTCTATTGCCTGATGAATCACTGACCAAAATTTGGGACTGATAAAATGAAGAATTCTAAAGAACGTCACAATTGTTCTATTATTAGAGATGAGGCCCAAGCCGTCACCGTCAACCTTACGTCACAGTAGGGCAGCCCGTGCCTCTGCGACTGACTCGGACCCCAGAAACAACGGGGCAAGACAGCGTGTAAGGGTCCCTTAATCTTCAAACACTATCTGCCAGGACTGTCTCACTTCTTTCTGTTAAACAAACAATAATTATAATTTGTTATATAAGAACAAAAAGGAATTTTACCCTAAGGACTTGAATCCAGTTTTCCCCAGAGAGAGGGTTCAATTTTTGTACTCCAAAGGTGAATCAAATCAGTAACAAAGTCAAATTACACAAACAAAGTAATTAAAATCCCCATTATTTCTAACTTGGTTGTTATGGGGCTGGATTTGGCCAGATTCTTACTGACACGAACCATTAGTTTACAGGAATCTGAACATACCATATGACCCTACTGGAAAACACCCTGCCTAATTGAGCTACCTCTATCAAAGGAAACGAGTATGTCCGGGATCACCCACGGCTCATTGCTCTCGGGATACATGAGAGCTGATGCCTGCCCCAGCCTCGCTCACATAAAAAGTGGATGCCATTTGCACTGCACTTAATAGCAGAAAAGGCTTGTGCTAGGTACACCACTACACCACGTGGACCTTCCCTCCACCAGCCACACAGGTTCCAAGGTCACTAGGCCAAGGAGACAAGTATAGGATGCAGCCATACAGTTTCTCTGTGTGAAATGAAGACCATACAGAATGTATGTTTTGAAACCTTTCTTTTTGGGGGTATCTTCTACTTATGTTACCCACATTCCCTAACTGTTTACCTTCAAAATTTTCCTTGTAAAAAACCAAGCCAGGCACTAGTGGCCTGTCACCCTAGCTACTCAGGAGCCTGAGATCCAAGGATGGCAGTTCACAGCTAGTCCGGGCAGGAAAGTTCTTGAGACTCGTATCTCTAATTAACCACCGGAAAATGGGAAGTGGTGCTGAGGATCAACTGATAGAGCACTAGCCTTGGGCTGAAGAGCTCAGGGGCAGCACGCAGGCCCAGAGTTTAAAAAAAGGAAGAACAAAAAATAAAAAATGTTAAAGTCCAGCGGGCGCTGGTGGCTCACGCCTGTAATCCTAGTTCAGGAGGCTGAGATCTGAGGATCTTGGTTCAAAGCCAGCCCGGGCAGGAAAGTCCCTGAGACTCTTATCTCCAATAAACTACTAGAAAACTGGAAGTGGTGCTGTGTCTCAAGTGGTAGAGCACTCGCCTTGAGTTGAAGAGCACAGGGACAGCGCCCAAGCCCAGAGTTCAAGCCCCACGGCCGACCAAAGAAAAAACAAAAACAAGAAAAGTTAAAGTTTATGTTAGTGTTTCGTTAAAAAAAAATCTGTTTTTTAACGCTATTCTCTCTCTTGCATGTCCTTAGGCAAATGTTACTCAAAAGAACAGAACAAAAGACAACATAATTTCACTACTAAATATATCCTCTTAACAATGGTAATTTCTACCAACAAGAATTAGCCAATAAGCCAGGCACAAGTGGCTCAGGCCTGTAACCCCAGATATTCAGGAGTCTGGGACCTGAGGGTATCTGTTGAAAGCCAGCCCCAGTAGGAAAGTCTGTGAGACTCTGATCTCTAATGAACCACTGAAAAAGCTGAAAGTGGAGCTGTGGCTCAAGTGGTAGGACTTTGAGCAAAAAGGTCATGGACAGCACCCAGGTCCTACGGTCAAGCTCCAGTACTGGAACAAGGGGGGTGGGAAGGGGATGAAGAAAACAGTAACTCACTTACAAGCCACTATGCTAATATTTAAATTAATACTTCATGTTATATTGAGATAAGCTCAAAAAGGTAGATATAGTATATTTTTGCTAGATCTAAAAGTCATACTTCAAGACATAGACCCTTGTATATATAATTATACAAGTGTACAAACAAAGCATGGTCTTAAGGGGAAATGTAAGAAGAGGAAGCAAATAGAAAGGGGAAAATATAGAAATACACTGTAACTGGGCTGGGAAGGTGGCTCAGTGGTAGAGCGCTTGCCTAGCATGCCTGAGGCCCTGGGTTCGATTCCTCAGCACCACATAAGCAAAAAGAAAAAAAGCCAGAAGTGGCACTGTGGCTCAAGTGGTAGAGCGCTAGCCTTGAGCTGAAGAGCTGAGGGACAGCGCCCAGGCCCAGAGTTCAGGCCCACGACTGGACCCCCCCACCCTCAAAAAAAAAAAAAATACACTCTAACTGTATGTGAAACACAGCATAAAGAATCCCAGTGATGGAAAGGAATTGAGGTAGGGGAAGCAAGGAGAACAGGCTTTGTGGCGGGGGTGAGCACAAGTGGGAAGGGGTTGGGCTCACAGGGAGAGTGAATGAAGCAGAGTCCAAGTAGGTAGCTTTTGTGTATGCACACAGAACAATGACCTAGAGGCTGAGACCAGAAGATCCACGTGACTCTTATATCCAATTAACCAGGAAAAACCAGAAGTAGAACAAACAGCCAAACAAGGGTTGAGATGGGCTCTAGAGGTAATGTGCCTGCCACGCCAGTGTGAAGTCCTGCAGACAGGTGGGCTCCTCTTCACACTCCCATGACGGCTGCCCTCCCCTCCCCACACCTGACCCAGCATGCTCTCCATGACTGTCTTCCTTTGCAGTTCCAGGGAGACTTACACTGGTCACACGGCGGTAGATCTGCGCCGCGTTCTGGCACTCCGAGTACGGGTATTCAGAGGTGGCCATCTCAAGCATGCACATCCCAAAAGCATAAACATCAACGGACTCGTCGTATTTCTCCTCATACATTTCAGGAGCCATGAACTCTGGAGTACCTTAAATTAAGAAAATTAAGTGTGAGCACAAGTTGCAGATGTTACTATGGGGGAGAAGCAAAGAGCTGACTTCAGTGTGACGAAATCAGAAAGGGTAAAAGCAAGAAGGAAAACAAAAAATGACCTTACTTCAGCCTGTCCCATTATGTATCTAATAGATCTATCTTTCATGCTAAGACCTTTGCAAGAAATTGAAAAAGGGTCAGATTATTTATACACTCTTTAAAAGAAACTCCCATTAGTTATATAGTATGTCAAAGCAGAGATTTGGCTGAGATAAATGAAAATCCCATCTCTGTATAAAGTGACGGATTAACGGGGTGCAGTGGAACATCCTGGCTCTTGGAAGGCTAAGGTAGAAAAATCCTGAGTTCAAGACCAGCCTGAAATATATAGTGAGATCCAGTCTCAAGAAATAAAACAAGCAGCTGGTTTAAGAAAATTAAACATTGGTCTGCCCTCTAGTGTACAGTAGTTGTAAGACAAATATAGTTAACTCTTGCTCATAATAGTCCATCTGATTCTCACCTCTGAGCCTCTTGAATACCTAGGATTACAGGTTATGAGCCACTGGGGCCCAGCTCCCGTGTGTTTTAAAGATAATAATACAATCGCCTATAAGGCCACTCATTGGAGCCTCTTTATAAACTCACCATCCCTCACTGAAGATACAAGAACTTTAGTGAGGAAGATTTTGTAGACCACGCACATAAACACAAACACGGGAAAACACATACACATACACACACACACACACACACACACACACACACACACACACACACACAACTCAAAGACAACCTTACTTAGAAGGGTATATCATCCTACAAGCCTAGCATTTACAATGCTTCCAAATGGTTAAGACTCTAAACCTCAAATTACTCTAAAAACAAGTTTAGTCAATTTGACAAAGAAAATCAAAACTCTAAGATGCCACAGATAATCAAAGAAGTGTTTTCTGTAAAGATGGAAAAATAAAATTCAACTTCAAATACCTTTTTTCACTGTTCTTGTTAGTGTTTTATTAGTATTTTAATACTCGTTGTATAATAAATTACACACATAATAAAATTTCCAAGGATAATACTATTTCACAGATTTTTATATTTAATGGTGTTCTATGGCTTTTCTATTAATATACTTAGGATTCTAGCCCATTTAACAAATAATGGATCTGGGCCCAGTGGTTCACACTTGTAATCCTAGCTATTAAGGAGATTAATTAAGCCAGTCCTGGCAAAAAAGTCCCTGTGAGACTTATCTCCAACTATTAAAAAACCAGAAGTGGTGCTGTGACTCAAACTGGTAGAGTGTTAGCATTCAGGTCCTGAGTTCAGGCCCCCACAACTGACAATAATAATAATAATAATAATAACAAGAACAAAACAGGGTTTGTTAGGTGCTGTTCTATCACTTCAGAGAGACAGGAGAGTGAAGATTTCAGGTATTTAAATTGCAATAGCCACTAGAGGCGATGAAAACTTATCAAAGCAGACATTCCTTTCTCTGGCTATGACTAGCATAATGAAGTCTGAGTGGTTCCCGCCTCCTTCTTCCAGCACAGATGCTCACTAACAACCAGGCTCTACATCAAGAGGGAACGAAGTCCGGAGACCATCTGGTTGTAGCCATCAGGGGCTGAGGACAAAGGGTATGCTTCAGGTGCTGAATGCTGCTAAGTAACCCCAGGATGTACAAGCCAGCCCTTCCCAGGTGTCCACTCCAAAATGGTCAGGGGAATAAAACTGAGAAGTATGCTTTAGATACATCACTTTGAAGGGTGTGAATAAGGGGAAAAAAAGTTGTTAGAATTAGCTTTTCAGAATGAACTGTCATCTGTATATTCAAACAGTTTTAAACAGGCATTTTTGAAGATATATCTAGTGGACATTTAAAAAAGCTATATATAAATTCCATTTTCAAATGAAGAAAGTGATACGTAAAGAACCTTATATCATGGGCTGGGAAGGTGGCTCAGTGGTAGAGCGCTTGCCTTGCATGAATGAGACCCTGGGTTCCATTCCTCAGCACCATACAAACAGAAAAAGCCGGAAGTGGCACCGTGGCTCAAGTGGTAGAGTGCTAGCCTTGAGCTGAAGAGTTCAGGGGACAGCAGCCAGGCCCAGAGTTCAGGCCCCACGACCGACAAAAAAAAAAAAAAAGGAAGAAGCTCACATCATGTAAGCAGAATTCAGCACCTGGGGTCAAGCTATAAAGTTCTTCCTTTCTATTTTTTCTTTTTGTTGGTCATGGGGACTGAACTCTGGGCCTAGGCGCTACGCCACAGCTCTTCAGCTCAAGGCTAGCACTACCACTTGGGCCACAGCGCCACTTCCAACTTTTCCTGCTTATGTGGTGCTGAGGAATTGAACCCAGGGCCTCATGCTTGCAAGGCAAGCGCTGTATTACCACTCAGCCACCTCCCAGCCCTCAAGCTATAAATTTCTGAACGTTAGTTTTACGTCCAAAATTCTGTCAGGATCAGGTTTCTGAATACAAGTAACATCAGAAGTCCAGCCAGGCTCCGGGACACACTGGAAACCTACCTATCACGCTCTTGGCAAAAGAAGCCCGCTTCAGGGTCGCCAGGCCCAGGTCTCCGATCTTCACGGAGCCGGTAGGACCTGTGATAAAGATGTTGTCACACTTAAGGTCTCGGTGAATAATAGGTGGCGTGCGAGTGTGTAGAAACTGAAGTCCTTTTAGGATCTGCCGACACCAGCTTCTTAAGACTTTGATCTTCATCACTTTAAACCTCTTCAGGTACCTGCGAGAGGCAAAGAACACCACAAGGCTATCACTGATAGGCACTGCTGCTTTGAAGAATTCCATTGAATTCTAGCGTACCAGAAAAGAGAATATGAAGTTGAGGGATACTTTTTGGTAAGGTTAAAAGGGCTTATTCAAAGACAAAGTCATCTCCAAACTTTTTCCTCTGAACAGTTACGGTATTGGGTAACCAGCTTTTCCTTTAAAAACTAGGTGGTCAAGTTGGCAATATCATCACTAGCAGAATCCAAACATTACAGAAAAATATTTAATTTGCAATTGGTAAGAAAGTCTGAGAACAAAGCACAAAAGGAATTCCTTAAAATTAGTTCTGAAGTGATTGTATTCCATTACTATGGGAGATCAGGAGTTTAAGGCCAGTGTGGGGTTTACACATTGCATTCAGGGCTAGCTTGGGCTACACAGCGAGACCCTTTCAAAAGGGAAATGGGAAGTGAGTCCGCTAAGTCCAAAAGAAAACTCACAGTGAAATCCCAGCTACTCAAGAGGCCAAGACTCAGAGGATTACAGTGCAAGGTTGCATGAGCAAAAAAAATAAATAAATAATCCCCATCTCAACAAAATAAGCTGGGCATGGTGTATGTAATAGACCTGCAATACCAGCTCTGCTGATGGCAGGAATGGAAAAACCATGATCTGAGAACAACCAGAGGCAAAAATGAAAGACTCTGTCTAAAAAACAAAAACCACTAAAATCGGCTGGGTATAGGTGTCCAACACCTATAATTCTAACTACTCAGAAGGCTAAGATATGAGGTTCCTTGTTCAAAGGAATCCCAGGCAGGAAAGTACTGTGAGATTTTTATCTCCAATTAATTACCAAAAAGCTGGAAATGGTGACATGGCTCAAAGTGGTAGCTTGAGCACAAAAGCTCAGGGACAGCTCCCAAGTCCTGAGTTAGAGCCCCAGGACAGACACACACACACACACACACAAATCAAAATAGGACTGGAGGATGGGGGCAAGAGGTGGAGTACTTGCCTAGCAAATGGAAGGCCCTGAGTTCAACCCTAGTACCACACACACGCACATGCACACATACACACGCACATGCGCGCACACACACACACAAGGAAATCACAATAAAACCCTATATACTGTATGACTATAATATGTACTAATAAAATACAAAAAATGGAGATTAAAAAGAACAAAAGGGACAGAGCAAAGAAAAAATTGATTAAAAACAGCATTGTGTGTGTGTGTGTGTGTGTGTGTGTGTGTGTTTAAAACTTTCTTGGGAACTGCTCCTGGGGCTTGAACTCAGAGCCTGGCTGAGTGCCTGAGCTGCTGCTTGCTCACTGCTAGCTCTCTACCACTTACGCCACAGCTCCATTCGCAGCTTCAAGCCTCACAGACTTTCCTGCCGGGGCTGGCTTCGGAACTGAGGTCCCCAGATCGCAGCCTCCTCAGTAGCTGGGATCCTAGGCGTGAGCCCAAAGGCTCTCAGCTCGTGATTTGTTGATATTCCTAAAAGTCCTTGAGCTCTTGGCCTGTTTGTGATGCAGTCCTCTTCCATCCTTTTGGCTTCGGTGACTTTTCTTTCTCCTTACACACACTTCCATGTATGCTACCTGCCATCCTTATATTAGCACTATATGGGCTCACATTCTGACTTGTATCTTTAGCTGCTTTCATGGATATTATCTTTACTGGTGTCATTTACCAGTATAAATTTCTATTATACAGCCATCTGCATGTGCCAGCAAAGAAGGAAAAAGAACTAGGAACACCAGTAGCATTCATTTAGAGAGGCAAGTGGGATAAAAAGGACAGGAATTTGTTTTTCTTGGCATCTTTGTTCTCATCTTTGGTCTCAGGGAGAGAGGCCAAACTCCCTGTACTTGTCACTGCTTGGGCCACAGTTTTCCCTCTCGGGGGATAATTCAGGATTGGATCCCGGCCGAGTTCCAATTCTTCTCTCTGTGGCTTCTCGGGCCTTCGTCCTTGCCTGGACAGTAGCACATCCCCACTTCCTTCACACTGCCCAGTCTGCAATCCCGGGACTAGGAAGGGATCGGCTCCTGTTTCAGCTTTAGCTCTGTGAGTTACCTCCTCTTTTATCTTTATCCGAGATGATCCTTTATCGCTGACGCTTGGATAGGTATTAAAACAGTGTCAGGACTCCACGTGCTAGTGATCTGGTGGAGGTCAGTTATTCCACAGGGGCTCCACACCCTATGTTACCTAAAATACCCTCTAAACACAGTTTTTGTAAACTACCTTTCGTGTAAAAGGGAACTCAAGGTGCATAGAAGTCATGCTCCAGGCCTGTCTGCTTTTGCAGATAGGGTGCTGCTTTGTCTGGGCTGGCCTTCACTCCTTCAGGCTTGGTACAGCTGGAATCACATACATGCTCCAACACACGCAATTTGTTCTTTGAGAAAGCTCTCACTAACTTTTTGTCAGACTGGAATGGAACTGTGAACTTCCTATCTCTACCTGCTAGAGAGCTGGTTTTACAGACTTTTAAACAGCACACCATTGCTGAAAGATGCTTACAAGCAATGATATATCCAAACCAGAGAAAAGAAAGTTAAGATACAGCTACAGAAGCCTGGGTATACTATATCTATTAAGTGTACATATACAGCTTTCCTTGACTCATTCAAGTATTACATCAAGTTTTTTTTGTTTTTTTTTTTTTTGGGGGTCCAGTAGTGGTGCCTGAACTCTGGGCCTAAGTGCTGTCCTTCAGCTCTTCAGCTCAAGGCTAGCGCTCTACCACTTGAGCCACAATGCCACTTCTGGCTTTTTTCTTTTTGCTTTTTATGTGGTGCTGAGGAATCGAACCCAGGGCCTCTGGCATGCAAGGCAAGCGCTGTACCACTGAGCCACCTTCCCAGCCCTACATCAAGTTTTAGTTACAGTGCTGGGCAGAACACAGGTGTGAGAATTACAGAAGTGTGAGTGGCCAGGAAGAAAGGTGTTGCCATAAGCGGGCCTGGAGAAGTTAGATAGAAAAATCAGGGTTTGAAGGTGAGAAATAATCTTCAGGTTTTCAACATGCTAGTCAGGAGTGTGAAATGGCACATACACATGTGCACACGTGCACACACACACACACACACACGTTGCTATATCCAGGAGACAAAATACCTTGCCTAAATACCTAGGGTCAATCAGCTCAATCAGTAATAACCTGGAGAAATGGAGGATGGTATTGTAACACTCTTTAAAAGTTCAGTTTTTGGGCCTGGGAAGGTGGCTCAGTAGTAGAGCACTTGCTTTGCATGCATGAGGTCCTGAGTTCCATTCCTCAGCACCACATATGCAGAAAAAGCCGGAAGTGGTGCTGTGGCTCAAGTGGTAGAGCACTACCCCTGAGCTGAAGAGCTGAGGGACAGCGCCCAGGCCCACGACCCACCAAAAAAAAAGTTCAGTCCTTCCGTAATAACCAATGTATACCATGTAACTTACAGCTCCTCCCTGTAAAAATAGTCACTCTAAAAAACTTGCAACTCCAACTCTTACCTAAAGCTGTTGACAACAGATGACAGGGAATTTCTGCATGTTATCCACTTCCCTGAAAGGGCGAAAGGTCTAACTATATATATATATCAGCTTTGATCTGATGCTATTCGGAACAGGGCTTAAAAGTATTCTCTAGCCGGGCGCTGGTGGCTCACGCCTGTAATCCTAGCTACTCAGGAGGCTGAGATCTGAGGATCGTGGTTCAAAGCCAGCCCGGGCAGAAGAGACCGTGAGACTCCTATCTCCAATATACCACCAGAAAACCGGAAGTGGCGCTGTAGCTCAAGTGGTAGAGCGCTCGCCTTGAGCTGAAGAGCTGAGGGACAGCGCCCAGGCCCAGAGTTCAAGCCCCACGACCGACAAAAAAAAAAAAAAGTATTCTCTAGTGATCATCATCACAGTACAATTTGCAGCCAATATAACAGTTACAGGTGTAGCAGGTGACAGAAAGAGTAAGGGTTATCAATAAACTGCAATGTCACTTTACTCACTTTAACCACTAGAGGGCTATCTTGCTATATGATTTCTGGTCTCTTGGCCACCCAATCAGCATTACTTCCAATAACTAGGTTTATTCTACAATACCTTCTCATTTAGAGAGTTATCAATAAGTCATTATCATATCACTATGCACCGAGGACTTGCGTAGGGAAACACATGTCACAATGGCCAGAAAGAGGAGTGCCCCCTCCATGTGCTGGGCAAGAAAGGTGTAACTGGAGGGGCTGGAGTGAGGAATGTGCCCGGGTCTTGTAGCTTCCATATCAAGGATGGACTCACGTTTTAAGGGTCCCAGATGTCATGAGCTCCGTTACCAAAACAATGCACTTCTTCCCTTTCACTGTGGATTCCCAGGAATCATAGAACCGGACAATATTGGGATGCTGAAGACCCTTTAACATTTCAGCCTCTTCTTTAAATCTCTGCCTTTCAGACTTAGTTAACTTTCGATCCTAAAATGAAAAATCAAAGATAGAATGTAATAAAAACACAAGCCATACAATTACAATGCTGAGAATCAGCCAGATGTGGTGACACAGACCTTTAATCCCAGTACTCCAAGAGTTTGAGACCCTATCTCATGAAATAAAGTGAACTTCAGTACACATCTTTATAATAACAAAAAATGGCAAAAAACCAAGTGAAATAAATCAAATGAACTAAATTGTCATTAATACTATTAAAACAAAACAGAACACCAGAATTTACTGCTAATACTTTGGGCGAAGAAAATCGTGCTTGAGATTTTATTAATATCTTTAATATGAATCTAGACATTACTCTCATTTGGTAAGGTGCAGCTAATATACCATGTACCACTTTCCATCCTCTGTTACTTGTCACTTGGCAGAGGCAGGAATTTAACGTCGTGGAAAGGAGATGGGGTTTCTAGGCTGAAGGACTTAAATTAAAACTACCAGTTCTATCTTTGTTTTTTTTTTTTTTCTTTTCTTTTGGTAGTACTGAGGTTTGAATTCAAGGCCTTGTGCTTGCTGGGCACACTTCTAGAGCCATACCCCATGGAGATGTTCCTCCCCCGTGCTTCAGTTGTTCTGGTAAGATGTCTAACTTTTGCCTCTGCTGGCCTCAAACAATGACCCGCCTATTTATGGCCTCCCTGTAGATGGGATAACAGACTTGTACCACCACAGCACGCTCATTGATAAGCTCTTGCTTTTTGCCCGTGCTGGTCCTTGACTGTAAGCTTCCTGATCTCTGTCTCACAAGTAGCTGAGATTACAGATATGAGCCACTACATATGGCCCAGAGTTCTCTTTGTAAATATATAATATCACCAAAAAGGACTGCTGTGAAAATCAAGTTATCCAACTGGTATGCTTTCGTCCCATGCTGCAGATGTTTGGTAATTCACAGGAATTAAGTAACTTCTAATCTGAAGGCAGAGAACAAATTATTAGCAGCCATCAAAACTGCTAGCAAACATGAGACTGAACTTGCCAGATACCTTATGTTCTATAGAGTAGTACCATTTAAGTTATTTTATTGTAGCAGCCTAAATGGACACAGAGTTGGATACCGGGACATGAGGCTACCACTGCCTTACACATCCAGAAGCAACGTCACAGCAGGCATGAATTTTTTAGTCAGTATTTTTATTTTACATGGTGCTCATATAAAATCATATTCTACTGCTTCATGTTGAGAATCAGTGTGCTTGAACCCCTTTCGCTGCTCTGCTCTCCAAGATTTCCTTTACCTCTTGAGCTCCCCGTTTCAGCCTCCCAAACACTGGGACTATAATATTTCATCAACGCCTAACCTGTGTCTTTTAAACCAAAATTTCTAAGTATTTTTCCTCAACTCAAGAAAACTCAAACTATTCTCTCTCTGCATACTGCCTCCTCTTATGCTTCATTATCACTTTTGTAGGATTTATGTGTGGGAATCTGTGTGTACAGGGCCTCACTAGATACTTACTGCTGTTTGTCTTCTAATTTTCTGTTTTTTTTTCCTCTTTGCAATTTTCTGCACAATGTTCTCAGATCTAACATCCTGTTCACTGATGCGTTTGTTATTTCTAATCTGCTCATTGACCTGTTATCAACTGCTCCAGAAATGAGGGGGATGAACATAAAGCAGACACTTCCAGCTAACCAGGTGAGTCCTCCCATGCATACATTTAGACATACATGAAGAAAATAAAACACAGAGTCAAAAAGACAGGTGTGGTGGTGTGTATCTGTATACCCCAGCACTCAGGTAGCTGAGGCAGCAGAGGCAGGACGACGAATACTTTGAGACCAGCCTAGGACACATAGTAAGACTTGGTGGCTCACACCTGTAATCAATCCCAGCTACTCAGGAGGCTGAGATCTGAGGATCGAGGTTCAAAGCCAGCCCAGGCAGAAAAGTCACCATAAAACTCGCACTCAAAAACCAGAAGTGGAGCTGTGGCTCACTTTGAGCTCAGGGACAGTGCCCAGGCCCTGAGTTCAAGCCCCACGACCAATAAAAACAAAAACCAGGGCTGGGACTGTGGCTTGGTGGTAAAGTGACTGTCTAGCATGCATGAAGCCCTGGGTTCGATTCCTCAGCACCACATACAAAGAAAAGCACAGATGTGGCACTGTGGCTCAAGGGGCAGAGTGCTATTCTTGAGCAGAAGCTCAGGGACAGTGCCCAGGCCTTGAGTTCAAGCCCCAGGACTGGCAAAAACAGTAACAACAAAGCTAAACCAGACATGGTGATGCCTGCCTGTACTCAGCATTTAAGAATAGCATCTGTGCCGGGCGCTGGTGGCTCACGCCTGTAATCCTAGCTACTCAGGAGGCTAAGCTCTGAGGATCTCGGTTCAAAGCCAGCCCGGGCAGGAGAGACCGTGAGACTCCTATCTCCAATAAACCACCAGAAAACCAGAAGTGGCGCTGTAGCTCAAGTGGTAGAGCGCTCGCCTTGAGCTGAAGAGCTGAGGGATAGCGCCCAGGCCCAGAGTTCAAGCCCCACGACCGACAAAAAAAAAAAAAAAGAATAGCATCTGTGTTCTCAGATCTAAACTCTTAAAAGATCCTCTTGAGCAGGTAGGGTTCAGCAGCAGGAAATGGGGCTTCACTATGCTATCCTGCCTGACCTCAAACTCAAATATAAACTAGAGCTGATGCAGCAATTCATCCATTCCTTTCCTCCCACACTGAGCGGTTTTGACAGGCTAGCCACACACTGACTGTCACGTGACCTCTGATAACACACCCAGTTCAGACTGGGGTGGGAATGAGACAATCGCTCCCCTCAGTACCATCCAAGTAACAGCACTCGGCACATTACTGATGTCATTTTTTTCTTGAGAAAACAATGCCAACGTTTGATGCAATTGGTACATTTTCAAGCCCTTGTTTTCAACAAATTATTCCATTAAAAACACTCTCAAACAGACAACCTCTCTCTGCACCTCCATCTTCCAGTGTTTTTAAAGAATCAGTCCCATTCTTTGCTATGACTGATTGGCCCCAGAGGAACATTATCCAGATCAATTTTGCAACTGAGACAGTAAAACTGGTTTTCATTAAATTTGAAATTTTGCAAGCTAGAAACTGTATCCCAAAAAGATCATTCCTCAAGTCTTAATTTCTGTAGTATTTTATTTTCAGCAATATTCAAAGTTTTTTGACTAAATTAAGACTCATACGATAGGTCTACATATCAAAATAAGGGTGAAGTGTGTGCAATTCTCTGATTAAAGTATTTTAAGGTCACTATTGGAGCCCTCCCTCCTTATCACTTTCTGCAGTGCACTGACACAGCAAAGACCTGGACAGACACTCAACCCACCTTTGTATTTTGTTAGTTGACCTTCCTTGCCTGGTCTCCAGGCCGAAAATACAGCAGTTTCCCAATATTCTAAGGATTTTAGTTATTATTTACAAAACTTTCCTTTTTTTCTCTTATGGCCTACACGGTATGTACAACACCAACTACAAGACAGGAATATTAGCTACAGGTAAAGCTTTCTTCTTTTCTGTGCTGGGTCCCACACTAGCCAGGCAAGGGCTCTACCCACTGCAGTGATGCACAGGAAACCGCCAGCACAGGCAGGCAGGCAGGCAGGCAGGTGGGCGGGCGGGCATGCGGGCGGGCAGGCGCACACGCACATGCACACACGGTTAGGTTTCATGGGCCTGAAGAATTATTCATTTAAGAAACAAGAGAGCAAAGGAGGGAAGGCCCTAGATATAATACTACCAGCTCATGGTAATATTAAATACTGAACTGGTATTTTTTTTCTAGGGTCCTCTCCTTAACCTTATCAGTTTAATCTTTTCTACCCAATTGTGGGGCTTGAACTCAAGGCCTGGGCACTGTCCCTGAGCTTTTCTGCTCAAGGCTAGAGCTCTACCATTTTGAGTCACAGCTCTACTTTCGGTTTTCAAGTGATTAATTGGCCATAAAGAGGCCCAAGGACTCAGATCTCAGCCTCCTGTGAGCAGCTAGAATGACAGGTGTGAGCCACCGGCGTCCCGCTCAGTTCAATCTGAATGTTCCCTTCCATACTCACTTGGGAATTACAAAAAAAAAATGCCCAATTCTGACAGTATGTACAGCCTGCCATAGAAGTTTTCTGGGGGTGGGGAGGAAGTGGTGAAAACCTCACTATACAGTCCAGGGTATATAATGTGTCTAAACTAAATTCGTCAAGTGAAATCACACACTATCCTCCTTTGGTGTCTCGCTTAGTCTCTTTAGTATACTATCTTCAAGGTTCATGTGTGTCACAGCATGTGATGAAACTGCATTTCTTTTTATGCTTAAATAATACTCCACGGTGCACAAATATTTTTGTTTTCTGTTCGTGATGGCCTCAGTTTATTTCCACCTTCGTGGTTACTGTGAATGATCGCTGCCTTCAGTTCTTGGGGTATATGTAGAAGTGAAATTGCTGTGCTCTGACAATTCCAGGTTCAGCTTTTTGAGAAACCAACATTCCCAATCTTCCATATGTCAGCTGCCCTGTTTTACTATGCCAACAGTGCAGAAAGGTTGCTAAATTAGTATTTAAAATTGACAAAACACATCTTTACCAACACTTTTCTTATGATTATGAAATACAAACCAATTTTCAACTGAAATAAAAACTGAACTAGGTGCCAGGGGCTCAAGCTCACTAGCAACCAAGGAGGCTAAGATCTGAGGATGGAGGTTTGAAGCCAGTCCAGGCAAGAAAGTCTGTGAGACTCTTAGCTCTGATCTACCACGAAAGCCAGGAGTTTAGCTGTGGTTGAAGTGGCAGAGCACCAATCTTAATCAAGAAGAGTTAAGGGACAGTACCCAAGCCCTAGTTCAAACCCCAGTAGCAGCACCAGAAAATTAAAGATTAAAACTTACTAAAATCAAATTAGTATCTCTGGTAGCCTATGTTGTGGCCGTCCTCCTGTATAACAAATACTGCAGCCCTGTAAAGAGTGTCTTTTCAATTACAAATCAGAATCTCAGAGTCCTT